ACTTGGAAAAAAAATCTGACAGTTGCCAGCCGTGCCGTAACACCTCCAGAAACCAACTCTGAGGGGTCAAAGTCTGCACCAAAACTCAGGGGCAAAAACACCTTTGTGTAACCGCCTGGAGCAGCGCCTGGCAGCAGCACTGCGCCCTGTGCAAGCAGAAGGGCCGCATGCTGCAACGGCACGCGCTCCTCGTGCTGCTGAGTAACAGCACAGCGGTCTGCAAACAGAAATTAAAGTCCTGTGGGTGTTTCTGAACTGCGGGCACTGAGACAACGCATGGCTGTAACCTCCTCCAGGGAGAGGGGGAGGAGGGGGAAGCGCAGTGCATGGAGGCAGCGGTGTGCAGCCCTGAGAGCACGCGCTCAGACACAGCGGCTGCATCGCCTTGGTGTGAGGTTATGGGGCCAAAGGAAAGAGGAGAACCTTCCTGCAAAGCGAACTCCCAGCTCAGGAGGGACGGTGAGGCTCTCTGAGCACTGCGGGCCGATTTCCGACTGCTTTCAACACTTTGCATCTTTGCAGAGTAATGATACGTTCAGGTTTTACCTGAATTTCATCACACTTGATGAGCTTTTCAACCTCTTCTTGATTTAAGAGGATAAACTCTTCGTGCTGAACCACCTCTGGAAAATGTTTCTGGCTGAAGACCTCTGCAGCTTGCATTAGATCAACACAATTGTGTGTCTCAGCAAAATCCCGAATGCCCAAACAATTTGATGGATCCAGCTGGCTTTCTAGAAACTCACAGCAAGCTTGTTTCACACCTACGAAAAATCAGAGGGGTGAATGAGCACTGAACACATCCTGTCATCCTCTGCTTGGGGAAGGGCTTCAGTACAGGGAAGCTGGAAACAGTAAGGACAGACCGACTGAACAACAGTGGAACAGCACCACACGGACACGCGTGCAAACGGCTCTGCTGAGGGGCACAGCAACACCGAGCAGCAGGAGAACTGCTTGGGCTGTTTGTGCCTGCTGTGCTGAACCCCCTCCTCCCCCAGGTTGAATCCCATACTGATAACTGAGAGCAGAACTCCTAAAGCAGAAGCGCCGTGGCTTTGCCCAGCTGTGAGCAGCTAATCACTGGCAAAGCCAGGCGGCATCGGGGCTCTGCTCTTACTGTCAGCAGGCAGTAATAAGTGACAGCAGCACAAAGCGTGGAGAAAAGAATCCATCCCACTCTTTCTCTAGAAGGGTCAGCTCTGCTACACCGAGAGCAGCGTGCAAAGCACAGGAGAAGTCTGACACAAGGTGAATGGCTCCAAGGCCCGGGCCGAGCACAGCGCAGAGGCATCGCAGTCATGGGAGGAACAGCAAACCTCAAACCACAGACACCTGCAGCCCGCCCAGCACTCAGCATTACCTTTCAGCTGCAGCAGGCACGCTGCTGGGAGCAGCTCCTGGACGTTCTCTACCGTCACGTGAACGGTTTCTGTGTACACAAAATCCAGCAGGATTTCCATGGTGGAAGCTGTCAGCCCCTGGATGTCCACGTAGGGTTTGTCCTTCTCTGAGAGCTGTAAATCAGAGAGGAGACAGAGCTCATTTTTCAATCATCTGGCCAAAAAGACACCAGTGCTCAGCAGGTGCTAAAAAAGTGAGATTCCAACAGAACTCCATCTTTTCTGTCCTTGTGCTCACCAAAAGAAGAGGGAGGAGAAAATCCCCCTGGAGAACACAGGGACAGATGAGCCGCAGAGCAAAGCAGAGTCTGTTACGCGTGTGGAAGACGTTCCAACGGCGCTGCAGAATGCACAAACTGCACCCCGAGCCAAAGGCTGCACATCATTCCTGTGTGCTGCCCACTGCGCCACGCAGGGACCCCGAGCTGTGCAGGAGGAGGGGATCCAGGGATCCTTCCTGGGCTGCGCACGTGGGGCCAAGCGCGGCATTCGGGGCTCTCACTCCTCTGCTCTACGCCCCAACCCGCACAGAAAGCTTCCCAACCATTCCACCCATCCACCCTATCAGCTCATGGTTAAAGTCCCTAAAAAGGATGACTATCTGCAGCCCATGAAATTCAGAGTTAAACGGGATTTTAACTTCAATATCAGAAACTAAAATCGGAGTGCATGCAGTGATGGCATTTAAGCAGTGCTGACTTCATCCCCTTGCTGTTCTGTCACCTCCACAGTGTCACTTCAGAACAATTGCTTTCTCTGAGGACCCCTGCCCTCTGAGCCAACCTGTGGAACAGTGGACTGCAAGCATCCACTGCGTGAGAACCCCTCTGTGCAGAGCTGACACCCCACCAAGCAGCAGCTGCAGGCACAGCACCCCGTGGGGGCTCATCAGCACCCTGGCAGCAGGACGTCTCCACGCAGCACAGTGCAAAGCCGATCCCTTTGTGCATCAGTGCAAGCACAGCTCACATGAAAGCTCCTCACTTTTCTTGCCAAGAATGAGAGTGAAGTTGGTTGCAGGCACACTGAGCGAGGAGAATGAGTGATCAAAGCATCACCACTTCGCTTTGGAAGTGCCACCACAGGGGATGGGAGGGGGGATCAGAGCAGACACAGAAACTCCCACAGAGGCATTTGGTGACCCAGCAGCAGAGCAGAGGTCACCGCTGAGACTGAGCCACTCCTGCACTGCAGGGACCGCGATCAGCACCTGCAGAACCTCACAGCACCCACAGAACCTCACAGCACCCGCAGCCCTCACGGAAGGACAGACTGCCCTGCTGGGCCCACAGTGCTGCAGGTGCCTGTGATGCGTGAGAGCCCGGCTCAGACAAAGCGCTCCCAAAACAAGACTGAGCCGTCCGGTGTCACCAGAGCCCAGAAGTGACCGGACCGGATGTTTGCATGACTGCAACACGCAATGCAGATGGAAGCTGTTCCTGTCCTGTCTGCGTGCTTAGAAATAAGAGGATAGGAGTTACTGGGTCTTTGTGACTAGCAGCCTTTCCAATTACTTCATGTATTGTATGTGAGGCAGAAGAACACGGGATCCCAGCACCATACCTTAAAGACCCCAGAGCTGACTGTGACACAGAACGTCCCACCAGGACTCTGAGCTCCAGAGCACACAGGCCGTATTACAGAGCTGCATTCCAAACGCATTCCTAGTGCATCCCATGCAGCACAACAGCGTCAGAAAGCCATCAGAGCACCCAGGGCAGCACCATTCCATAGGAAATGACTTTGCAGACACCGCGTGCTTCACCCCGGATGCCCGAGGCGGCTGTGGCACACAGCACTGCCATCCCCCAATCCACCCCCAAATCACAGGACTTGCTGTGCAGGAGTGTGGCCGTTCCCAGGGTTCAACCCAGCATTTCAGAACTGCACCTCGTTCCACTTTCTTATCCAAGCCCACTTCTTGACTTTGTCCTCGCTGCTGCAGATACACACAGAGTGCTGCAATAAACCCCTTCAGCTCCCTGCGGACAGGGAATGCTGGTGTGACTGTGCTGCTCTGAGGGACGCTCACGGCACAGACCATGGGCTCGGGTCAGACAGGACCTTAAGGACCACTCGGTTCAAACCCCTCCATGGGCCTGGTATGAATCCCAACGTGACCAGAAGTTGCTAATTTTCACAATTAGAAGAATAGTTCTGCATGGTCCAGGGAAAACAGGAAGGAACACAAAGCCCAAAGACCTCAGAACTCGCTCTAAGAGAAGACAGAGCGGTTTCTTTCTGAGGTGAGCCAATGAGGAGCTCTTAGCACACCCTGTGATCCGTGAACTCATCCCAAGGCAGAAATGGTGCAGCTGCAATACAGCACAGAGGGGCTCTGCTGCAGCTCCCACCGACAGCCCTCAGCACTGCACGGAGGGAGCAGCTCTGCTCTATCCTGAAGGAATGCAGAGACACAGGCAGAGCCACTGCTCAGGGGGATCCAGAGCCACATCCCAGTGGGACCCAGAGGGATCCCAGCCCATTTCCAAAAGGATCCAGAAGGATCTGCATCCACCACCCAAAAGGGATGCAGCGGACCCAGAGCCGCCGTCCAAAGGGATCCAGAAGGATCCCGGCCCACCGTTCAGAGGGACCCGGAGATCTGAAGCCATCGCCCAGGGGGATCGACAGCCGGGATCCAGGCCGACATCAAAAGGGATCCGGGGGACGCACAGCCGCCACCCAAAGGGATCCGGAGGACCCGGCCCGCCGTCCACACGGACCCCCAGGGCCCAGCCCACCTCCCGGACGGCTCCGGAGGACTCCGGCCCGACGCCCGCACGACACGGGGAGCAGCCCGGGCCGCGCCCGCCGCCCCGCACCGACCTCGCTGGTGAACATGGCGCAGAAATAGTCGCTGCAGGCGGCCAGCACGATGCGGTGGGCCGGGAAGTCCTTGTGCTCCACGCGCAGCGTGACGTCGCACAGCGTGTTGCTCTTCCGCAGCGCGTTCATGGCGTTGAGGATGGACTTGGCGTGCGAGTTGGTCATGATGTCCTTGGGGGGGGCCATGGCGCCCGGCACCTGCGGGCACAGCCAGCACGGCCACATGTCACGGCCCGCCGCCGCGCCGCCAGGGGGCGCCCTACCGCAGGCGGCCGCCGCCGCGCCGCCCCTCCCTCCCCCAGTCTCTGCCTCGCCGGGCCGGGCCGCGCCGCCCCGGCGCCCGCGGCGTCCCTCTGGTCCTCCCGCCGCCCCTCCGACCCGCAGCGCGGCGCCCTCGCGACGCGGCGACGTCCGCCCGCACTCACCGCGCCGCGGGGAGAGGTCCCGGCCCGCACGGCGCGCCTCCCCCCTCCCCTCCCTCTCCTCGCCGGGCGCGCTCTGATGACGTCACGATGCGGCGCGGCGGGACGGCACCACCCGTCCCGTGGTTGCTCGGCAACGCGCCGCCGGAACTGCGCGGAGGGCGGCACGGCGCACTGCGGTCACCGCCGCCGGGTTCGATCGGCGGGCGCGGCGCTCACAGCACCGGGAGCCGCCCCGCCCCCGTCGGCCGCAGCGTCGCTCAGCCACGGGCCGTCAGCGCCGTCCCCACCCCCGCCGTTGCCCGAGCGCCGCGCGGGGAAGGACGGAGCGCAGCGCTGCCTCGCGGCGGATCCCGCGGCCTTTATTGAATGTAGAGACTCGCGGCGAAGACGATGTCCCGTTTGATGCAGCCGCTCGCCGCCTCCATGGTGGCCGCCAGCCCCGGGTCGCCCAACATGCGCGCGGCGCGGCGCAGCTCCCGGCACAGCTCCTCCAGGCGCTGAATGCAGCGAACCACCGCGCCCTCCTGCAGCGGAGCCAGGGCGGCCAGAGCGGCGAAGGGCTGCGGGGGAAACGGGGGGAAAACGGGGGATGAGGGGGGGGAAGGGGGGAACGAGGCCCCAGAGCGAAACGGAGCAACCGTGACGGTCCGGAGGCCGTGGGGAATGGGGGAATCCCAAAGGGGAATGGGGGGATCGGGGGCTGCCTCTGGGTAACGGAGAGTCCAGAAGGGAACGGGGGGCTGTGTGGGTCGGGAGGGTTCACGCGGCTCTGGGGAACGCCGGGGGCGTCTGTGGGAGTAGGGGGGTCTGGGGAGGCTCACCATGCCGCGCGCCCACTCGTACACCACCTCGGCCAGCCCGAAGCCGAACTGCCCCACGTAGTCCTCGGCGCTCTGGGGCAGCCCCCACTCCTCCTGCAGCCGCCCCACGCGCTCGGCCACGGCGCGGATCTGCTCCATGCCCTGCGGACGCAGCCCCACGGAGCTCCGCTCAGCCTCCAGCAGCCCCGCGGAGCCCCCAGCCCCCCCAGAGCCCATACCCGCTGCAGGTTGGGAGGCAGTTTTGGGGGCGGCTCGCCCCGGCCCGGGTGCACGGTGCAGGACAGCAGCGCGGCCACCTCCTCGGGGCGCAGCGGGCTCAGCACGTTGCCCAGCAGCAGCTCGGTCAGCAGCAGCTCGTGGCAGCTCAGCAGCGCCGCCACGCGCCCGGGGAGCTGCACCGCACCGCCGTCGGCCACGTAGCCCAGAGCCTGCAGCACCTGTGGGCAGAAACTGGGGCTCAGCCCCGCAGAGACCCCGCGGCGGCAACAGGCGAACCCACCGAGCGCACGGGTGGACCCACGTAACGCTATGGGCGAAAAGAGCCACCGGGTCAACCCGGAGGGACACGAGGGACACTCACGCCCAGGCGCTGCCGGTACTCGGGCAGCAGCAGCAGGGAGCGGTCGGACAGCTGGTACTGGAGCTGCTCCACCTGTGCCTGCAGCCGGCGCCGCGCAGCGAACTGCGAGTACTGCGGGACACACAGCCACGGTGGAGGAAATTGGCAACAAATAAAGGAGAACACAGCCCCAAAATGGACACAAGCAGGGTCAGGTGAACCCAGAGACCCAGATGGCCCCAGTAATTGATCAAATCGCACAGAAATGACCCCAAATGATCCCCAAACAGCCCTGAGATGGCCCCAGTGACCCAAATCCGTCCCCAAATAACACAAAACACCCCAAATGACCCCAAGATGACATCGAAGGATCCCAAAAACCAGCCCAAAAGCGCCCCAAACAACCCCAAAAGACACCAGAAGAGCTCCAAAATGACCCACCCCCCTCACTCCGTACCAGCTGGGGAAAGCGGGGGCCGTGCACACAGCGAAACCCCCCCAGGGCCGCCCCCAGGCTTCGGGCACGGGCAGCTGCCTCCACGGCAGGGGGGTCCCGCAGCTGCAGGGCTCCCACTGGGTCCAGCAGGGGCAGCCCCCCCGCAGCCGCCCCTGCCATGCGCAGCAGCTCCTGCAGGGCTGAGAGCAGCTCGGGGCTGGGGGGGTCCTTCCTGGAGGAGATGAAGGGGGAACAAAGTGCCACAGTGCCCCAGAACCCCCAGGGACACCCCCTAAAAAAAGCCCCAAAACAGCCCCCTGCCCCCCAAACCCAGCATCCCCAGAGGACCTGCCCAGGGACCCCACAGCTGTAAGGATCCCTCCCCCCAGTAACCCTAATTACCACAGTGGATTCGCTCCCCTGCCCAGGGACCCCAATATCCATCCTCTCGCAGGGAACCAATACCCACACGACCCCCCAATAACCTTCAAATAGTGGAGAGCCCCACCCCCCCGAGGACCCCAACAGCCAGAGACCCAAATTAACCC